TGTTTTTAAACTGTATCCCTCTAAATCCAGACTACTAAATCCATGAGTACGAAAGGAGTACTGGGGTCAGAAATGCTCTTCTAGGCTTCATTTTTCAAGGGAAGATTCACAAAGGGTAAATAAATACTAAGACAAAGTACCACAAGATTCTTGAGGAACGCCTGGTTGTCATCCTTGAAGGAGCGCTCCATGAAGATTGCAATGGCTTCCTTCTCACAGGCTGCGTGCAGGTCCAGCAGCTCCTGCAGCGTGTCTGTGGGGAAGCTCACTCTCTGGGCCATCTGCTCGCTGTAGTGGTTGGCTGCCTTCTGAACGGCCCCTGAGTTCTCAAGCTGGGCCAGAGTTGTAACCGCATTCTCCAAACAAGGCACTGCACCACTGTTAATGGCATCCACATAAGTCACCACCAGAGTCCTTAGCCCTAATAAGCCAGGAAATTTAAGGGATAAATATCAATTTATCACTCAACAGGATCTATGGTTCACACTCTACATTTCTAAATCTCTCCGTCTTTTTGTCTCTCACTTACAAAAACTCATACACACACACACACACACACACACACACACACACACTCACACTACATCCTTCTACTATTGTTGGACTATGCAGTTAGCTAGATATTAACAGGAGACCAGGGAGCAAATTGAATCAGACATCTGATAAAGCCTGATTAAGTAGGAAAAAACAGCCTTAGAGTCATGCTGGGGAGTCCACCCAACTACCCAGAATGGGAGAAAAATGGTCCAGAGGGAGTTCTTTTACTAAGTACCTGCACTATAGGAACCAAATGACCAAGCAGAACTATGAAGTATGTGCAATTGGAGCCAAAATTCAGAGCATAAGTGGGGGAGAGCAAAACTGGGAAAATCTGCAGGAAAGATTGCATAGGGAAAAGGCACTTGCCCTGAAGAAGACAGGAAAGAGATTGGATAGTTTTTAAGAAAGCCTGCTCTTTCTCAAACCCAAATATATATGGGGAAGCTTAACAAATACTGCAGGGCAGTAGCTGGCCCCTAGTCAGCCAGCTCTCTGTCTCCCTGAGAGTGTACTTTGCTTTTCACTTTAATAAGCCTTGCCATTATCGCGTAAAACTCCTCCTACATGAGAGTCCCTGAAATTCCTTTCACACAACACCACAGAAGAACATATTTCCTCCAGTAACACTATTGTCCCATTGACTCTAATTTGTATGTTTCTTTAGACCACAAGGCTAACATAATTCAATACATTCCTTTATCTAACATACTAAAGGATATCTGGAAACATAATTTCCTATTAAAAATCTTAGAAGCAAATTATTTACATAGGTAGACAGATGAGGTAAGGTAAATGTGATTCTATTTTTTTTCCTAATTATGCAGAGTCCAGTAAATTTTCAGAGTTTTATGGGCTAATAGTCACTAGTAAATTGCTCTAAACTCCCAAAATATCTTTTGTATTCTCCTTGCAAATCACATTCATAATAAAGAACTTCAATTGAGGAAACAGTGTATTCTGTTTTTCTACCCAGTTAGTGATTCATTATTAGTAGAAGACTTTTTATATGTATGGATGCTGCAGATTTAGCTGTCAATGGTTGTAATTTTAGAGAGGAATTTATAATCACCCAAAAGTGTGATAAGTATACATGTGTCTTCATGGAGTATGAATATCTGTAGACCCATAATTCTATGTAGAATCAAACACAAATCCTGGAGAACACATCCTATAATATATTCAACAAATATCAGGCCCCACAAAATGTGAAGTGGAGGCTCACGTTTCCCAGTGACTCTGATTCCCTCCCTGAGGGTCTTGATTCTCGTCTCAGTGAAGATGAACGAACAGAAGTTCTTTGTTTGTTCCTGAAATTTAGGATCCAGTTGGTATTCTGCAACCTCCTCAATATGGGCTAGGAGTTCTTTGTCATTTGTTGGCCGGTCAAAGACAAAACACTTCCTTCTTGGAAAGAAATGGCGGATGCACTCTCTAGGGAGATTAGATATTTGAGCTTTGGGATTCCGGCCTGAAAGATTAAAACAAACGAAAACAGGTATTACAGTAGGAGCAGTCTGAGGACAAGGGACCTAAAGATTTTTATGACAGGAATTTTTATATCTTTGCCCTATTCTATCTGTATAACTTGTGTTTATAACTCCTTTAGCATAGATATCCATCCAAATGCTCCTTTAACATCAAATTTACCAATGATGCAACTTTGGGGGAAAATTTTGGAAGATATTAAATATGCTTTAAAAACAACTACAACAACCTATTGCTGTTATCGGACCTAAAAATGGTAGTAGGGTATTGTCTATATTGTCAATATTAGCTACTGAATGAATAACAGAAACATGGGTCAAATGTAAGTTTTTGGTCACCTTGATCCCATGGGGAAATGAAGCTGTGGATCAAAATGAAGAGTCCAAACAAGACTTAATGAAACAATGTTGGAAATAATACCATATTATCTGAGGAAAACTGTTTAGATGCTAAAAATAATCTGTACAGCATTAACTTTTAAAAAAATAAAAACCTTTGAAGACTGAAGAGTAAATGAAGCTAAAACATAAATTTAAGATATCACCATTAGTCTCTAAATTCTTTAAGGTAAAGAACTATATTTCATTTGATAGCTTTGCTGTTCTATGTAGCCCATTTCTCATTGTTTTGAGAAACAGTAAATACAAACATGAAATCAAGAGTGTATAAATCAGAAGTGGTATTTCGTTCACAGGTTCATCAGATACCTTCATGTCCATGTAAATGTAACTCATTCAAATATTTTTATTATTTTAGCAAGGGTAAATAATTGGAAATTGGGGGGAAAACTATGATACAGATAGAATTAACATCATTAAAATAATGCCCAAAGGAATCTATGGAGTCAACACAATCCCTGTCAAAATACCAAAGGTGTTTTCACAACACCACAAAATATAATCCAAAAACTTATATGAAAGCATAAAAGATCCCAAATAGCCACAGAAATACTGAGAAGGAAGAACAAAGTTGGAGGTATTATGCTACCTGATATCAAACTATAATACGATGCTGTGGTAATCTAAGCAGCATAGTGCTGGAATAAAAACAGACATATAGATCAATTGAACACAACAGAGTGCCCAGAAATATACCCATGCAAATATGACCAATTAATAGATAACAAAGGAGGCAAAACAACATACAATTGGGTAAAGGCAGTCTAGTCGGTGCATGGTGTTGGGAAATTAGACAAATATGTGCAAAAGTGAAACTACACCACCTTCTTACACCATATACAAGAATAAGCTCAAAATAGATTAAAGACTCAAAACCATAAAACTACTAGAATAAAACATAGAGAGTAAAATCTCAGACATGAAGGCCAATACACATATGAAAAGATGTTCAACATCACTAATCATCAGAGAAATGCAAGTTAAAACCACAATGAGATATCACCTCATGCATGTCCGAATGGCTCTCATTAATAAATCAATAAGCAATAAGGGTTGGTGAGAGTGTGGAAAAAAGGGAACCATTGTGCACTGTTTGTGGGAATGCAGATTTGTGTGGCTTCTATGGGAAAGAGTATGGAAGCTTCTCAAAAAAGTTGAAAATAGAACTGCCTTATGACCCAGTGACTTCACTTCAAGGTATGTATCCAAAGAAATCCAAAACACTAATTCAAAAGACTATATGACTCCTATATTCAATGCAGCATTATTTATGATATCCAAGATATGGAAGTAACCCAAGTGCTCAACAATAGACAAGTAGATAAACAAGAAGTGGTACATATACACAATGGAATACTACTTGGTCATAAAAAAAGAATGAAATCATACTATTTGAGACAACATGGATGAATCTAGAGAATACTATTCTCAGTGAAATAAGTTAGAGAAAGACAAATATCATTTGATTTAACTTATATGTGGATTCTAAAGAACAAAATTGAAACAGAGTAACAGATACAGAGAAAAAAACGATGGCTGTGGGGGGGCAGGAGCGTGTGTTGAAGCGCTGGGTGAAAAAGTTGAAGTACAAATACAAGTTGGTAGTTACAAAATAGTCAGGGGAATGTAAAATACAGCATAGGGAATATATTTAGTAATATTGTAATAATTATGCCAGGTGGGTACTTGAAATATAGGGGTGATCACTTTGTAAAATATGTGATATCTAATCACTACAATATACACCAAAAAATAATACAAAATTATATTGAGTGTAAATTTTACTAAAATAATAAAATTGTTTTAAAAATAAAAATCCATGATATGGAAATTAAAATTATACTAGGATAATTATAAAAAAATATCCCAAAATGTTAGATTGAAAAGATAAAACATTCTTCTTTCAGTTTATTAGAACATAAAGTCATATTTACAGATAACATATGTATAAAGACATTAGAAAGTTATATGTCCCTTTCAGAAGAATCATGTCTAATTACATGAAAAATATTTTTTCATTAGATAGGCTTTTCATTGTAATTATATGCCAAACAAGTATTTGATCAGTTGTTTTCCTCAACACAGAAAAGAAGAAGCTAAAATAATAAACACATTGCCGAAACCGGTTTGGCTCAGTGGATAGAGCGTCGGCCTGCGGACTGAAGGGTCCCAGGTTCGATTCCGGTCAAGGGCATGTACCTGGGTTGCGGGCACCTCCCCAGTAGGAGATGTGCAGGAGGCAGCTGATCGATGTTTCTAACTCTCTATCTCTCTCCCTTCCTCTCTGTAAAAAATCATGTCTGCTCTTCAGAAGGCTTTAGCAACTCTGTATTCAAAGGTACAGTTGGATTCTCAGTTACAATGTGTAAAGAACAAATGGGTTATGAATAGTTCTATTCTAGTTTAGGCTCTACTTTTCTCAAGTGAACTTAAACTCCAGTCCGTAAAGCTTTTCAACCCATTCCCAGCCACCATTTCTGCAGACTTCTAGTCTCAAGTACAAATGCAACTCCAGATGTAATGTTTAGTACCTCCCATCTGTATTGGACCATGCACTGCCCAGCCATGCTCTGTTACCTGGAATCAGCTTCAAGGCATTCTCCAAATACTCATCTGCTGTGATAGGATGACCATTTAACTTCAGCTCCAGGGTAAAATCCCGTACGGTCCAGATAAAGTCTGGAAAAAAACTCACAAACTCTGATGAATCTTCTACTCCATCTGGTGTAGGGGAGGACTTTGCCCTGATGAGTTCTGTCAGCTCTGTCACGTAACTAGGACCTGGCTAAGGAAAATTAACTTTCTACTCACAATTCCCACATTTCTCTGATTAAAATAAAGAGTATCATAAACACTCTTTTTCACTCTGGATCCTTTTGGTCTACCAAAGGCAACTAAGTGAGAGGGAAGGAGAAACTGACTGGATCTCCATTCCCACTGAAGCCATGACACATAGAGGCTGGGTTCCTGGAAGGATACTGCAGCTGCTCCAGGGCCTGGTGGTTGATGGTGCTCAGGCTGTTGTAGACAAAGCTGCTACACAGAAGCACAGCCAAGGCAAAGATCCACGAGTCATTCTTAGGGTCACCCTAGAAGTACATTAAGGCAAGACATTCAGGATTTACCCTATAGAAATTCATTCCGACACTAAGTCTAACAGTCCTTCCTTTTATTTCAGGCAATGTACTCACCATGCAAATAAGTAAGTTTGAAGACCAACATATCCTATATAATAAAGAGGTAATATGCAAATCGACCCTCACACCATAACACCATCACAAGATGGTGGCGCACATAGTGGAGGTGGGGCATGGGGACTGGGCTGGTGGTCGCTCTGCATGGCTTCCACCAGGGTTCCTGTGGCCCCGTGGGGCTGCAGAGGTCCCAGCTTCCGCTTCTTGTGGCTTCTGCCGCTGTTTCCAAGGCCCACCACATGTGCCATGGGGTGGGGCCCAGTGGATGCTGAGCGGGACTTGGAGGCGGGGCAACAGGGTGGCACTCCAGGACTTGGGGCCATCCCACAGAGCGCCGGCCACACAGGGAGGGACTCTGGGACTCAGGGCAGTCCCAAGGCGTGGGGGAGACTGGGAAGAGGGAGGAGAGGGTCCCAGTTCTTGGGCGATTTCGCACAACAGGTTACTAGTATACACATATGAGCTTTAGCAATTACAATAACATTACTCATGACTGTGATTCTTTCATATATAAAAAGATTCTGTCATCACAGAGTTTTCTTTTTAGTGAATCAGATGAAATAACATATAAAATAACAACGCAGCACCTTGTGTGCTATTAGGTTCAATGAACAGTGTTAGCACATATTTATTCTACATATATTTGTTGGTCATGGACTATATAAAATATTCCATAGTTAACATAACTGGGGATATATTCAAGAAATGTTTATGGGAAGCTACTGAATATTTCCACTGTTGTTAAAATTAAAAAGCAGTTTAAAATGACAAATATTACTTTCAAGGTGACTATTTCAAAGCCATGACAAACATCTGTAGCAATGAATATAACAAGAATAATATCTACAGGAGGCTTATATCATAATAACATATATAATCATTGGAACCTGTAGCTATAATAGTAAATTAAGGGGGGGAGGGAAGAGATCAATCAAAGAACTTGTATGCCTGAATGCACAATAGCATGGTGAAGTCCTGCGGAGGTGATGGAAATGGGAAGAAAGTATCAATGGAGAGGAGAAGGGAGACATCTGCAATACTTTCAATATTAAAGATAAATTTTAAAAAATAGTAAATTAAAATTTACAAGTCCATCATGGAAGACCAGAGCTCTGGAAGATGGAAAATTTTACATAACATGAAGTCTTCCTCAGCATCTTGACTGAAAATTAAAGACTTCGTAGAGTGTGAATTGGAATAAATGAAGATATCCTACAGGTGGAAAGACCCACAGAAGCAAAAGTAGACATAGCAGCATACAGAGGTCTCTTCTCATAAAAGGAGAGTTGTTTGATCTGACTGGAACAGAGGGTAAGTCAAGAAGTTAAAGTTGGGCTGGGTGGAGACCTGAGCCAACATTGAGGTGTCCTCATGATTCAGCCCGACTCTCCCCCATCTCGCAGCATCATGGTGGCCTACTGACGACAGGCTGGACTCAGCTACATCCACGACTCCCACATCAGCACAAAAACAGTGAGAGATGCACTGAAAACTGAATTCAAAGCAAGCACCAAGAAGACCTTCGGCAGCAGCATCAAAATTGTGAAAGTGAAGAAGGAATAATGTACCCTGACTAAAGCTTGAAATGCTACATTTTTCAAAGTGAAGATGTGTGGGCACAGGTTATGGCAGATTGAAAACCATCTCACTTCATGGGGAAAATAACACCTGTCTTGTTGATAGATTGACAACGCCAATAAACTGAAGCATGCTTCCCTCAGAAAAAAAAGAAGAAGTTAAAGCTAAACAGTGAGCTATGCAACCAGATGAGGGACCTTAAAGGAGGGGTTAGTTTGTTTGTATAAAACATAACAGGTCTAAATAATGGCACAATACAGACTTTTCTTTCTATTATAAACACTATCTAAAGTTGTTCCTTAGAGCAAAAGTGGAATATACCTGGAAATATACCTGGAAATTCTTGGAGGATTTATCTTCCAAAGCCCAATTTTTAAAAAATGATTATAATAAGAAGTGGTACTTATGACAAACAAAAGGTTATTTAGACAGCAAGACTGTTTGATACACAAAATAAACACAAAATTTCTAAATCTTCTTTGGGTAGAAATAGAAAGTTGTAGAAATTTAGGTACTATTTCCAAATAAGTCTCAAACAAAAGCAGAAAAGGAGAAATCATTCATTTTACCCTTCAGTAAAAAACTAAAATATCAAAAACTCATTTTAAATTTTGTTGGAAGATAAACCCATGCTCTTATAGAACCATGCCATTCAGAGGTGTCTTAAAGTCTTCCAGAATTCTTGGTGAGTACTTGGTGAACTTCACCAGAGGACTGCAAACTTTTTGAGGGCAGGGCTTTTACATGGGTCACTAGTATCTACAGTACTAACTTAGAGATGGGGAATATGGTGCTCAGCAATTGTTTATTAAATTGAATCAAATTATTCACGAGTGCCGAGAAATAGAAAAAAATTTATACATTGTACCATGACACCTCACCTGTAAATAATAGTCAAACAAGCGAGCATTTGCCTGATATATAGTTGGATTTCTAGATTTCACAAATAGATCAAGCAGTTAAGTTAAAGAGTTTGTTATGAGACTATCCAGATTGAAAACAACTTATCTGTGACTCTCTGCCTTACCTTTTCCACATCACCCAGGCCCTCAGTGTCCAGAAGGACCAGAGTGCAATCAGGCTTACAGGGGTGAGGCACACACCACATCCAGATGCCCTTGGTTTTAGACTGCACCGTAGAGCCCAGAGGGAAACCTATAAAGGAAGGGGAGACCCAACCCACAGTGACAACAGACAATCTAAGCAGCCAAGGGCCTACACAGTCAGATGTTTTGGAATAGAAATACTCCAGAATGTAAGATGGTGCTTTCTCTATTTTGTAAAAAATGCTTTACTTTGTGTGTCATCTATTTCAAATAGGAGATGAATGTTAACTGTGAGAATGTTACCCAGGAAGGGCTCACAATGAACCAGATATAAGAAAGGTTACTGAAGACCATCAAAAGGACATTTTAAAAGAATGGTCCACTAAAGGTGGATAGAAGTGGATAGAAGGGAGACATCTAAAGAAAAAAATTGAGATAATATATTTTCCAGTCAAAATGATAAAAACATGGCAGAGCATATGGGAGGGGATATTTGCCACAATGGGATGTGAACTCACAAAAATCTTTAAACATGATGACAGATATTCAAACATCATTATATGTTGATGGGAATATTCTACAGAGAAAGCAAAACATGTTATGAGAGAGGAGGCACAATTTCAAAACCCCAGTGCTTGCACAGGTAAAAGAAGGGGTCTATGCATTAGTAGGATAGATTTTCCTGAACAGGAGTAAAACATAGAATATGGTAACAGAATACATTAAGGTAATAATTTAGTGATAAGAATTAGAAGATTGGTTTATTGAAAGGAATTTAGTTCTTTCTTCATGTGACTAGTGAAGGAAACTAAGAAACTCTAATATAGGTAGAGTCAAAGAATTGTCCTCTGCCTGAGACACCACTCACCGTGATTCTGTCCTGCAAGCCGATTCATCAAGTAGGATTTGCCTGTACGATACAGTCCTACAATGGCCACGACCACCACTGGCTGAGAAATCTGGCCAAGAATCTCTAGAGCTTTCTGATTCACTGACAGCTGCTCATTGTTGTTTTCCACCAGGCAAATGGGGGCCGTCATGTTGGGTCTAGAAGCCATGGCAACCTGCAAACCTAGAAGAAATCCCGGTAGAAATAAGATTGCAATGTTATTCTCTGAAGCAAAGTTGTGCAAAGCACCCATCATCTTAAGACAGTGTGCGTGTTTTACTTTATTTCTGGCACAATAAGCATAGGCCAAGCCCTGCAATGAAAAATTCATCTATTTTTGATTCTATACTTACAGTGAATCTCTGAAAGGGCCACAGTGTTCCCAATGCTGTGAGGATCTCAGGTTGAATGTTATTGCTGCACTAGGCAGTCACATCTTATATTGCAGGTGAGTGGCTCTACCCAATGCCAGGGTCATCACTGAGAAGCAAAGCCCTCTCATGTGAACATCCTCTCCCCAAACCTAAGTTTTAACCAGCCGCTAAAAGGATAGTGAGGTGGATGCTGAGGAAGGACCTGAGACTAGGACAACCTGGGGACACGGCCAAGAATTGTGAATCCACAGGTTTCATGCATCTCTCTGTCTCATGGTACTAGTTGTTGAGAACAGCTGTAGAACTAGTGATAAGATGACTAGTATTCATCAAAACCTGAGGTTTTAGCTTGACAATTTGGCTTGACATATGACAGACCAATAAAATGTAGTATCTATGGCTCCATTTATGATACTGAAGGGACTGAAAAAGTTTGGGGTTTCAGAAGAGAAACAGCTTTTGATTTTTCTCCTTTTTTAGAAGTCTTCAAAATTCTTTTGGCCACAAAGTTTAACAGTCATCCCCTGTTCAGGCAAACTGAGTCATGTGATATTTATTTTGTTTTCCAAAATAAAGTGTGCATCAAAATTTAAAAATAGACTGATATTATAAACTAATAAAAAGCATATATTAATAAAACAGTCAATAAAGAATATCAAGAAGACCTCACAAATTCTGCATTCTCCAAGTCCTGTTAAAAATATCCGTGTGAAAATATCAAGTGGCTGTGCATTTCCTGGACATGTCTGACCTAGGACTTTGTTAGGGTGGAGAAAGTACTTCTTATATCCCAGGAAGGGCTGTGCTGGTCCGTCCTAATTTTCAGACCATACCAAGAATGAAGCTGAGCTGAGAGTTGGTCTAAGCACGTTTTGGCCTGAGCAGTGAATTATAGCCTTGTCCAGGGGACAGCATGCTCCTTTCCTAACTTTTAAGGATGTGACTGGGAGCTGGAGGTGAAGCCACAATCATAATGTAGATCATCAGTGTTTGGTCATCTTTCTTTCCTTTTTTTTTTCACCCAATAAACAAAGACAAGCCAGAGCTCTCTGAGCCAAGTCTGCTCTTGATAAAAAAAAATAATAATAATTAAATTAAAAAACAAAATCTTAAAAAATGTGTAGGAGGTGAATCTCATGGGGAATCAGAATTAAAAGCCATAGTGTATCCTAATGCACATTATAATGAGGAACATTGAGCTCATGCATGAAGAAGCTGCCTCATGGCCCCATTCCATTCCCTAATCTCTTACCTCTCCATGCACCCTTCTTTTCCCCTCCACTTGCCACTGTCCTGGTTATGTGACATGCTACAAGGTTGTCACCTCACAGCTACCACTGCTCCTAATGAGGAAGCTAAAGCCAGCAACTGAGCCCTGCAGTCCAGGCTACCAGGCTACAGGTGTCCCTACCTCTCCATCCTTAGAGTTCATTTTGAATCGGAAATTGAGAGGTTTAAGCCCAAGATCTAGTTGCTTGCAAAAGAAAGTTGAATTCCCACTTCTGTCCCACAGCTCCTCAGGTCAGTGTGTCACAGAACAACTCCCAGGTCCTTCTCACCCCTCCTTGCTCCCTCTCCTCCTCCCACTTTTCTGTTGCTACTTTACAGAAGTTTAAAAAAAAAAAAGCTGAGGAATTTTGTTTTCATTCTTACAGAAGACACAGCAAAACAACTGAACCTAAAAACAATAATTGGTGTAATTTTTTGGTAGGGACTAAACATTTGGAAACTGCAGAATAAAAACCCATCTTAGACCTTATAGTTATTTTTAATAGTTGATTAAAATATGTGAGAATGAAGTATTTCATCTAAATACCACTTTATAGAATCTTTGGAATACTAAATACAGTTAATGCAATAAAGAATGTTTTAATGTTTAAATTGTATGTTAAGGATCATCTTCTCTCTGTTTTTTCAATGTCCCACAGACATCAGGGAAATGTGTGAGATGGGGAGGAGGAAGATGGAGGAAATGACTGCAACCAGCGCTTCTTAGGGAAGAACAGGTTTGGTTCCTCAGTCACAGAAAGGACTTCAGTCCCTTCAAGCAGGTGATGTAGGATGCACTCCTTCTCTCAGGCAGGGCTCTTTGTGCAGCCTGGGAGGGTGCCCAAGAGGGAGCAGCCCATCCCAGGAACAAGCTGTGTCCCCTGCCCTGCAGCAGCCTTTCATCCAAACAGAGGGGGTGAGGTGCCTCCAGTTTATAGTCCCTCCAGCCACCCCTCCTCTGCCCCCACCATCGGCCAGCTGCCTCCAAGGCTGACAGTGAAGAGCCTTCACCTCCAGTGCCAGGTGTGCTGTGCTGGAGCACGCTTTGTTATTGTTGATGTTAGTTAATGAACATGTGCATGGAAATCCAAGTCTCTGAGCCAATTTACCTGTCTCCTAAGCTGCAGACAGCGGATAAGTTCTCGCCTCTCCCGTCTTCCAGAGTCTGGCTCCCCAGGGTCCTCACAGTTCTCTTTAGAAGCTGAAAACTGAGTGGGATGTTATAGGCAAGCAGTTATGAGTTGGGTTGAGAAGAACCGAAATCGAAAGGACACAACCTTTTGTGGAAAGTTAAGTGTTTGATTTTCATCTCCTCTCCCCCTCCCCCGAAGGCAAGCAGGGTGGATGCCATTTCTTCCACGCCCAGCTCGGAAATCCCACGCTGACAGCTCCTCCTCAAGGGGCGTGTGTTCCTCAAGGGGCGTGTGTTCCTCAAGGGGCGTGTGTTCACAGAGCTGCTGGGCTGAATGTGAGCCCGTAACCGCCCCGACCGCACAGTGAACACAGAGCTGCTGGGCTGAATGTGAGCCCGTAACCGCTGGCTGAGAGAAGGCTGCAGCCTGTCCCTCAGGGGTACTTTTGTTGCTTTAATTTTATGCTAAGACTGCCTTTTCATTTCTGGCTTTTAAAAAACTCATTATTAATTTATCCTTCCTCATTATCAATAACTGTGTGCATAAGACTCCTGTTTTTCCAATCAAGAGATAATCGCTAGTATTTTGTAGCATATTTTTCCAGTGTGTGTGTGTGTGTGTGTGTGTGTGTGTGTGTGTGTGTTGGCTCTGTGGGGGGATTAAAAGGGTCCTGGGTTTATATTCTGAGTGTTTCTTAAAATAATAAAAAAAAATACAAACTCAAAAAGTGACCATTCAAAATGAACAAAGAAATCTTAGCCATCAACAAGTTTTTGAAAGTTGACAAGTGCCACAAATATTGGCTATATTGTCTGCTTTTATCTTCTATTAAGCTGCATTCCCCATATTTGCATTTTCATATGAATAATAATTCAGAAACAAAATATATGTGATTGTAAGGGATTTCACTGCATTAGGCCATGAACAAAACTGTGTAATGAAAGTAATCTTTTGTTACACCTGTTGCCTTCTGGATGGATATACGTAGGAGTTGTGTTATTGGAACAATATTGGGTTACTATCATTGCTTATTTTTCTCTGTCTAGAATATTCTAAGTTGGTTTCAAAGACTTTAAAATGTTAATTCCACTTTCACCAATATGTTTGGTTGAAATTGGCTCTTTGACAACATAGTAAAAACAAAGTAGCAGCAGCTAGATGTTAGATTTATTTTTATAGATTTATCATAAGTAGATTACTAAAATGAAAAACTTGTTCCAAGAAAGCTGTTGCATTGAATAAAATATCATAACATAAAAATATGAAAATTGAAATGTCCTCCTTTAATATATGATATATAACACTACCAATCATGCACTCATGTGAATGCTTGTTTTTAATATGAATTTATATCCTAGACTTCTTATTTTCAGAGTTGTAATGTAATTCCATTGTGCAATACTAGTTTATCAGTCTTTATAACTTGTCTATATTTGGAATTTTTATTTTGGGCAATGCTCTTGTTTTCCTGCAATACGTGGTGGTACATTTCACAAGAAGTGATCAGTGTTAACAAATGATGTTACAGAAAAGGTGCTTGTGTCTACAAAAGCAACAGTTATTTATATTAGGAAGGGTTAGGAAGGTTTATAGATGGCTTCAGAGAAAAGTCTTATTTCTGTTGGGTCTTAAAGAATGACTCACTTTTGAAAAAAGAGGGATTGGAGGAAAGATATTTTAAGGCAAAGGAAGGAAATGATCAAATATACAAAAGTAGGAGGTAAATCCTAGATACCAGCCAGGTCCAATGCAGCCAGTGTAGCGGGTTCGCTAGGAATAAAGTAGAAAAATCAACTGGGACTGGGATCATGGACAATGTTGCACAGGAAGGTGGAGACCTTGATGGTTACTAGGCATGCTCAGAGCCATGTTGGAAATCCATTTTATGGATGAGCCTTGAGAGCATTATGCTAAGTGAAGGAAGCCATTACAAAAATCATATACTTTAGTGTTCCATTCATATGAAATGCCCAAAACAGCCAAATTCATAGACATGAGAGTAAAGTTGGTTCCTTAGGGTTGGGGTAGGGCTGTGGGGGAAGCAGGGACGTAAAAGCTAAAGTGTACTAGGTTTCACTTTCAAGTTGATAAAAATTATCTAAACTTAAGTGGTGATGGTTGTACATATCTTAACACATGAAAAAAACACTTTTTAAATGGGTAAATTTTATGGTATATGAATTGTATCTCAATTTTTAAAAAAATCATTTAAGAGGCTGATGCTACAGCTTATTATAGTTCCACCACTCTAGGCTCAACCTGGTCTTTCAGAGATTTCAGGTTCCTTCCATTCTGTTGTTCTCTATCCACTAAGGCATTGTACACATCTGTAAAGTTTAGTGATGAGTTACCCACATCTGTTATCTAGACAGTAAATGGAAAAGAATAACTGGTGACAAATAAGCTCAAAGTTTCCTGAGCCAGACCCACAAGTAACATACTTGTAATTCTACTCATACTCCATGTGCACATCATGCCACCTAGATGCAAGAGCAGCTAAAAAGATTTAATCTCTACGTTGGTAGCCATGAGGTCATCTTTAAAAATAGAATCATACAAATATTGAGAGCTGAAAATTCTGTCATATCTCTAAAACTATATGCACCAATATAGAGACAGCTTTAAAAGACCTTTGTTCCAACTTGGCAATATTTAAAGTTGAACATAAGCTGGGTCAGTATTGTGACCCTGTATTTACTGAGACACAGAGATTGATGCAAGATGAGTGTTAGGCAACAAATCAACTCAAAGAAAGAGAGTTCTTTCTTATCAACTGGATCCAAGAGCCTGCATTCCTCTTCTCTCTCTTTTTCTTTATTGTTTTTTTTTTTTATTTCAGAAGGCTGCAATATTAAAATGTGAATCTAGACATAAAAACTATAAGGATAGATAATTATTTTAGCCTTCAAGTTAATATTTTATTATTGTTATTTTTATCATGTTTTAATGTTTATTAACTTATTTTTAATTTTATTATTATTATTATTTTGAAGAAAAATACATTTGGCGTCTTCTCCCAGCTTCCATGGTGGGAAATTATTGCAAGAGAAAGTATCTCTAAAAAATATATTCTATAACTCTAAGTCATAAAAATGTAATATTGGTAAAGGAAGATTAATTAAAATGTGTTCTTAAATTGATGGAAGTTAATTAGGTTTGATTTAACTGAAATAAAATTTTTGCATGTTCTATTATTTTAACTCCAGAAAAAAATTACCAACCTTCTTGTTGTCGAAAATGTATTTTTTTTAGCACCAAGAGTACTCAGTTTTATGGACTAGTGCAGTGGTCGGCAAACCGCGGCTCGCGAGCCACATGCGGCTCTTTGGCCCCTTGAGTGTGGCTCTTCCACAAAATACCACGTGCGGTCGCGCACGTACAGTGCAATTGAAACTTCGTGGCCCATGCGCAGAAGTCATTTTTCGGCCTGGGCGAGTCTATTTTGAAAAAGTGGCCTTAGAAGAAGTGGGGGGTGTCGGTTGGGCGGGCAGGCGATGGGAGACCCCGCGCAGGCGGGCCAAGGCCAAGGGATAAGCAGCGCGGGGCAGGCGTGCGCGATTCATGCACGAGTTGGGTGAGCCAGTCAGTCAGCAGTCTCATTGGGCAGTGGTTAGTTAATTTTAGGGAACGTTGTGGAGGTAAGTGAAAGAAGATGTAATGTCGAGGATTGAGAAAGTTATGTTGAGGTGGTTGGACATATAGAGAGGATGAATGAAAGGAGATAGACGAAACAAGTATACAAGACGAGCGTGGATGGGAGAGTTGGAAGGGGTCGACCTCAGCAAATGTACCTCAATCAGACTAAGGACGTTTTTTAGCAAGGGTCATCTTAGGAGTACCCTAATTAAGTTAATAACAATGTACCTACCTATATAGTTTAAGTTTAAAAAATTTGGCTCTCAAAAGAAATTTCAATCGTTGTACTGTTGATATTTGGCTCTGTTGACTAATGAGTTTGCCGACCACTGGACTAGTGGAAAATCTTAGACAAGGAGAGTCTCATTTGAACATGTTGTACACAGAGCTTGGCAGAAGACCATAAAGCTGCCGATATACTA